TAAAAAATCAAGAACCGTTATGGAACCGAACCGGTAGTAAACGGTTCGGTTCTTCCTTTTACCGGTTCCTAGAATAAATTTTTCTCGTCTAAGAATTAACACATAATTTTAAACACGTCAAAAATTCAAAACACGGCTATTAAAATTTTATTTGAAGCTCTAATCACTTCAAACATCAAAGCCCAAACTTAACTAATGAACTTTGAACACTTAATAGAACAAAAGTGATTTGAATTTTCATGTAATAAATCAAACATTAAAAATCGTTGTAGTGTCGGAGCGATGAAGATTACTCGTCATCATAGTAGCAAGAATTGGACGCCAATTTCAAGTCTTTCAAAACATAAAAAAAACATTGAGTTTGCATGTATAGATATAAAAAACATCATTACATTCTATTGATTCATAATAAATCTAATAATTAGAAATATCATGAAAATAGAAAAGTAAAATATGTGCAATCAACTACAAGTTATTTGAGTTATTTTATATTTATAAAATTTATGTGATGGAACAAAACTTGATTTGTAGAAAGGAGTTTAATGTAGTATATCAACCTCATGTACAATATTTATTACTTCTTTTCCGTTTATTAAATTAGAATTGTTAGTTAAATATCTTATATTGTTTTATTATTGTTGCTGTGGTGGTGGTTATTATTGCTATTATATTATTGTTGTTGTTGTTGTTGTTGTTGTTGTTGTTGTTGTTGTTGTTGTTACTACTACTACTAATATTAATATTTTATTTTATTTTATTTTATTTAATAACGGTTCCTTAACGGTTTCATGCACATATGTTTTATAGGAACCGGGAACCGAACCGTTATAACCCGTTTCGGTTCGGTTCCTACAAATGAGGCATTAATTGTTAATGGTTCGGTTCCTAGATGTTGTTAACAGTTCGGTTCCAATCGGTTCTACGGTTCCCAGTTCCAAAATCCCACCCCTAATTGAGTATGTGAGTCAAAATAAATGAATCGAAGAGGTTCCATCCTTTACATGCTCCAATGCAAAATACATCCATGTGAAAAAATTAAAGCAATGATTACATTATGGGAAAGTTTCGAAAATTTCAAAATGGGGTTGCCATATTTTTATTCTCAAAATAGGAGTAATTACTGCCAAATTTGAAAAATACTGCTATATTTGAAGTCTGGTACTGCTAAAACATGACGGTAATTAGTCCTATTTTGGGAATAAAAACATGACAATCCTATTTCGGGTAATTTTCTCTTAAATAATTACTCATGAGATTGAAGGGGGGTAGGTAGGGGTAGGGTTGGGGTGGGGCCGATGTGGTAAGGGGTTGGAGTAGGAGGGGGCCCTAGGGGTAGGGTGGGGTCAGGGTGGGGCCGATGTGGTAGGGTTGGGGTAAGTGGTAAGGGCCTAGGGTTTGAGGGTGGGGGGTGGGTGGGTAAGGGGTGGGGTGGAGTAGGGGTTAGGGTCGGGGTAAGGGGGGTGAGACAGAGGGTCTCAAAATGGGCCTCATGGTGGACTTTGCTCATTTCTCTATCTTGCCAACTCAACATAGTCCATTTTTGTTTGCATTGGAGACTACATTCTTTAATAAAGTGATCATTTGATAATTTGGACATGCAATCCACTATTGCATTGGAGATGCCCTAAAATTGTTTATATGACGTTGTCCATAGAAATGGGTCGCACAACTTTTGCATCATAATCAGACTTACATAAGCCATAAAGGAAAATTGTATTATCTTACGTCACTAAAGTCGCTTGTGCCATACACTAAATTGACCACTAGCACTAATCATACTAGTAAAGCGAAGTAGAGTTCGTATGTACATGTACAATGTACTTTTCACGTATGTGTAAGCGTAAGATATCAAAGTAAATGGAAGGCGCTTGGATATTTGATAATTGCATCATAAAATATCAAAAGTAATCAGCTTTGATCTTGCTATTTTCAACTTAGTGAAGTACTAGTTGATCACTTTTACTAGTTTAACTCTCCCTCTTATGAGTACTTAATCATGAGGATTAAATCGTCCAGTACATCAAGAGTATCTATTAATAACAAAAATTGCTCCTTAATAGCATTTACTATTAGTCAACATAGAACAAACGTATATATTGATCTTAATAGTAGCATTATGTAGATTTAGTGAAGTCAATTAAAAACGATTACTTGTAACCCGATGTGAGCATTCTCTATTATCATTGCGAAAATCTCAAGTCCAAATAAGATTGATAATCTCAACATAAATGGTATTTCAGTTCAATCAATATTATTAATTCCCTTTTAGTTTATTAACCATGAGACACATGCATTACTACTCTAAAGTGATTAATTCTGAAAGGACCAAGTGAATAACAAGCGTATTGTGACACCGTACGCGGATGTACTTGAAATTAAAATTCAATATGTATTTGAATTTCCTATACAATAATTTTGTGTGAAAGGATGATGGATATAAATAATGAATGATTAATTAAATTATGTATCAGGCCCATAATATTGAGAATGTGCTACCGAATGATTTAGTTCGGTCACCATAATGATTATAGAACCCCATAAAATGCAAATTGTAGTTAAGGAAAATTATTGGACAACTCAGCTGCTATTTTGACCCAACCTGCTAAAAATTGCAATAATGATAGGGGTGGACATCTCACACCCACTTGGGGATCTTCCTACGTGTATTGTACACTCTAAATAACCAAGTTGAGACTAGGATGACGCATAGGAATGTAATATTGAGTGAGGTGGTGTGCAAGACAAACACCCACACCCCTATGACCCCTAGTATTGTACACTCTAAATAACCAAGTTGAGAAGGGTACTACCCCCCCTTTAGACCATTCGAACAACCAAGTGAAAGGGAGAGAAGCTCTAGGGAAAAAGTCTCCACAAAGCTCAAAGCTTGGAAGAAGCAAGAAGAAAGAAAACTCAAAACAAACAGCTAGGATTGAGGTAAGAACTCAAATAGTTCATTTAGTTGGTATTTTTTGTGATTTTTAAGAAATCATATGGTGGGTTAAACATGAGGTTTTACATGTTTAAAAGTGTAGAATACTTATCTAAAGTGATGGTATTTAAGTTAGAAGAGTCATGGAATCGGTAGGAGTTGAAACCGCCGGAATCCGCCATTGTTGGGGATAATTTTCGAGCTGCAGGCTTGAAAGCCGCCCACCTTTTGCAAAAGCCGCCCGCCCGCCATTGTCTAGATTTTTCATTTTCAATCGACCTAGAATGAGAATTGATCAAAGGGCTTCGCAAAGGCAGCTAGTTAAGCACATCATAAGGCGATGATGATTGACTATATTGCTTATAATTAGTGAGTTGATTTCATAAGATTACCTAAGGTGTTTAAATATATTTTTATGGATTATTAATGATTAATAATGCCTAGAAATGAGAAGAGTATTGTCTTGAAAAAAAGGAGCATGATATACAAATTTATGAATAAATTGTGTTTATGTGTTATGAATTTGATGACATGATAGTTGAATTAACTATGAAACATTGTGATGAAATATACTTTTTACCTCATGTAAAGAATACATGAATGGGTAAAAGTGATATTTTGGGTATTGAGAATAAATTATATTTTGATTAGAAAGAAATCAATTTGAATTGACTATATGACCATGAATTAAGAACTCGGTTGTTCTAAGATTTGACCGACTAGTATTAAAATACTAGTCGGGATGTTAATAAGAATAATGATGGAATTAATCCTAGGAATTTTTATTGTGAGTAGTTATACCTTAAGAAGTCTTAAGAGATACTTTAAGGTGGAAATATATGGACCCTAAGTTATACTAGGAGTAGGCTTTAAGGGCTACTCAATATAAAGTGACTCTAGGCATAGAATTTGCTTAGGGATTTAATAATGTGACTAGAGCGAGGCTCTAGCACGCCGTAATGGTGACCAGAGCGATGCTGATAGCCGTTATATTTACTTGTGTTTAACATAAGTATTTATTGAAGAAAAGAAGAGAAATCGGACAAATACCTTCAGAATGAGAGCTAAAGCATAAAACATTGTGATGGACGGCTTTTGGGGACCAAGAGGATGACGTTTTGCCCATAATTTGAGTATAACTTATTGGAGAGAATTCCAAATGACTCGATTCAAAGTTCATGTGAATACAAACTCAATAAGCTACAAATGTTGTTAAGACATCATGGCAAAAATATGAAAGTATCGAGACTCAATAAACCAATAAACTCAGATGTTGCAGATGAGATTTTAGGATGCATACCTCTCAGTGTTTTATCCATATCATTTGATTGGATGAATAAAATCACGCCATTCAAGTTTTGGTGGATAGAAGTGTAACACCGTCCCCAAATGTATTTACTTTTAAAGTGAATATTGTATTTTAACCTTATGGAATGGTTGACGGATTTACGAGGTTATGAATTTTTATTAATTTTTGCGTGAATAGTAAGTTCGCGCGTGGGGCCCGCACCGGGAGCGGGGGCCGCCCGATATTCCCGGGACCACATAAATTATTCATCTTGGTCTAGATAATATTTATATGGGGGTGGATAATTCTTTTGAACCATGGAAAGGTCTTGAGTTGACCGATTGGTCAAAAGAGGCCCAAATACCGGTATTGGCAATCTAACCGATAAAAGCCCGAAATTGGATTTCGGAGACCTATAAATTTAAGTTGGGAAATGTATATTCATTTTAAGGGTCATAATGATTGGGAACGTGTAATATATCTTATTTGACCCGATAAAATAAAATATATTTAAAACTGTCCGAAAAATACAACTTTCGGGACAAAGTGTACACTTCTGGACAAAAGGGGTTGACCTCCCACATGGGTGGGGGCCAACCCACGAATTTAGCCACACAAATTGAGGCATGGGGCTGCTGAATGGAGAGGAGGAAGATGGGTAGAAGTTGGGTTGACTTGAGAGGCATCTAAAGGACAAAGGTGGGTCTCTCAACCCACACATAATTGCCTATTGAGACAAAAAGCCAACCCCAACCCCTCTCTCCCCTATTCTCGGCCAGCACCAACCCCAGCAAGGGAAGAAAAGATCTCCATCCTCCTCTCCCCATCCTTGAAGAGAGCTCAAACAATAGAGGTCCAAGAGGGAAGATTTAAGAGAGAAAAAGCTAGGAAAAGTGAGAAAGATTAAGGTAATGACCTTATATTAACTTTTCCTTTATTTTTCTTCTATCATTTGAGATATATATCATGTGAAGAACATTGAGGATTGTTCCACATGAGTTAGTGTAGAATGATGGGTTGGAAGGGGGTTCTAAGTCCAAAAACGGACCTAGGAGCCAAACCGACAAGTTCACCGGAAAATAACCTTTTAGAGGTTATTAGTATTGATTAAGGTTTTATGATGTTAAAACCTTGTTAGGAACTTGATTAAAGTACTTTGGAGCTTCGCCGGAGTTTCGCCGGAGTTGGTCAAAGTTGGCCGGAGTTGGTCAAAGTTCACCGGAAATAGTCAAAGTTCAACCGCGGAGCGTAGAACACGCTTAAGCTCACTTAAGGTGAGGATGACCGACTATATTGCTTATAATTATTGGGTTAATTTCATAAGATTACCTAAATGAATTATATGTGTTTGGCATGATTTATTTATAATATAAAAAAATGCCTAAATGAGATTATTATTGTTTATAAGTAAAAGTGCATAATATACAAATTTATGAATAAATTGTGTATGATTATGTATTATGAATACAATGGTATAATAGCGTGTAAACTATAAATGAATTGTGATAAATATACTTTTACCTCATGTAAGGAAGTCATGGAAGGATAAAAGTGATATTTTGATATTAGAACCAAGTTATACTTGAATGTGGAATTAAATTGAAATAGCCAAATTACTATGAAATTGCATTGGCTTATTAAGGTTAAATGACTAGTATAGAAATACTAGCCGGGGATGTTAGCATGAAAAGTGATAGAACAAATCCTAGGGGTTTGGATTGTGAAAGATGTACCTTAAGTAGTCATATGAAATGTCTTAAGGTAGAAATGAGTAAACGCTAAGTTACCGTAGGAGTGGATCTTGAAGGTTACTCATAGTAGAGGAACTCTAGGCATAGAGATTGCTTAGTGAATTAGTATCGTGACTAGAGGAAGCCTCGAGCACGATGAAGAATGACTGGAGGAAGCCTCCAGCATTCGTGTAGGACGACTAGAGGAAGCCTCTAGCGTAACGTAATGTGACTGGAGGAAGCCTCCAGCACAACGTATGTAAGGTGATTAGAGGAAGCCTCTAACACCAAGTGGAGTGACTAGAGTCAGCCTCTAGCACGACAAAACATGACTAGAGGAAGCCTCTAGCATGGTAAACTAATATAGATGGGTGTGGCTTGAAGTCACGGGGAAAGGGTTAAATGTTTCCAAAGTAAACATGGGCCTTCGGGCGATTACTTGACTATATATATAAAGTAAGTATACTTTCAAAAGAGGGTAACCACGGGTTATGACCTATAATATAATAACATCCTAGATTGAGGGTCTTGGAAATTGAAACTTTGATTATACTTAGTATAGTTGTCATTGTACTTGTCAAATGCTTCCAAGTACTGACCTCCCCTTCACGGGGGAGGCCACCTCACAGTTTCAGGTAGAACTTGAAGGGTGCTACCATCACCGTTGCTTCGGGCGGATTATCAAGGAGAGGAGACGTGGTTCGTGCTTCCTCCGTTTCTGTTTTAAAACATTCAAATTAATGCTCATGGATACTATTTTCCGAATAATTATTTAGGGCTTGCACGCCCGTGTTTGCCACGTGTGGCTCGAATGCTTGTATTAATATTTCCGCTGCTTAATTAAATGATTTACATTGTGATTGTTTATGGATGTACTAATGTGAATGGTATTCAAGACGCCTTGTATAGTATGGATGAGTTGGACTGCGGTTGACTATTCGTACTGTACGGCGGGTTGTTGACGTGTCCGGGAAGGTCCGGGGCGTGACAATTTAATTGGTATCAGAGCCTTAGTCCGTAAACTTCATAATGAAGCTTCAAAATCCCTTTTGAAAATGATTTTGAAAACCATGAGCATAAAAGTTTTGCACTTATAGAACTTTTGGTACTTGAGTTGCAAAGTCTCTAATTGTTAAGATGGTACCCTTAACAATTGGTATGACGGTGATTTGAGCCAAAGGATGTCTTTAAGTGCCTATCCGTCACTTGACTTTTGATACGGGTCTAATGACTCATTCTCTATCTCTTTCAGAAATGGAACGCACCGGTAAAGTCACCCGACGAAACCCGACTGGCCAGGCGCCGGGAAGGTCCCAACATGGCAGTCGAGGGGCATCAAGGGTGTCTCGAGGGCAGGGCCGTGCAGGCCACTCGCTGACCGTTAGTGACGGTCATGTTGAAACAATTGACGAGCATTATGAGTCCGAGGAGGATTCAACGTACCGACCGGGAACGGAGCCGGTTGAAACCCCATATGAGGGGGAAGATGATGACATTAGTGAGGGGAGCGACGATAATGACGCCCTCGAGCGGATTGAGGAATTGCTTCGGCAATACCAACAAGATCGCCAAAGGCGCCGGGCAAGGCGTGCTTCGGGAGGGGCTTCGAGAAGAGGGAACCGTGTTAGCTCTAGGGAACATGAGGAGTCCCGAGGAGGAAGAGGTGCCGAGGTTCCCATCATAAGAATCTCGAAATACCTCAAAGAGGCGAGAGAGTTGGGATGCAAACCATTCGATGGAATGGGAGACATCTCCGTGGCAGCCGAATGGATCAAAAGATTCAATGAAGCGGCCCTTGATATGCAGCTGCCACCCCATATGAAGATGAGAGTGGCAACAAGATTGCTAGAAGGAATGGCGTCCACATGGTGGGACGGTGTCAAGGGGAAGTATGGTGAGGCGGTCACTTGGGAGAACTTCAGGCAAGAATTCTTTAGCCAATACTACTCCGACTTCGAGGTGAACTTGAAGAGGAGGGAGTATACGAATTTGACCCAAGGAGGGGAATGCACGGTGAAGGAACTTGAGCACAAATTCAGAAAGCTTGCCGAGTTCATACCGGAGTACATTTGTGATGAAAATCGGATGGTGAACCATTTCTGGGATGCCTTGGACCTTGACATACGTGAGAGGGCAACACAATTGCCTAATATGACATTTAGTCAAGTCGTGGAACAAGGGTTGAAAGGAGAGAAGGAGTGGGAAGAGAGGAAGCGAAGAAATGCCGAGGAGGCAAAGAAAAGAAAATGGGAGAACCATGGCCCCCAGGGTTCAAACAAGAAGGGGAATCACGGGGGGGGAGGATCCTTCAGGGCACCCGCACCACCATCAAGGGGGAATCCCAACATGAGTGGGCAGAACTCGGGATCACAAGCCCCGACGAAGCCTAAGTGCAGGAATTGCAAGAGAAATCACGAGGGCAAATGTCGTGATCCCCCACGGTGCTACCAATGCGGAGATACGGGGCGCATAAAGCCCAATTGCCCTCAACTCGGTGGGAACCGGTCATCAGGGCCAAGCAGTGCAACCATGGTGAGTAGAAACCGGGGTGGGGCACCCAATGCAAGCACGAACCACGGCGGGGCAAGTACAAGCAACGCACCCTCCGTGAACCAAGGAAGGGCTCAAGCGAGAGTGTACGCAATGACCGAGGCCGATGCTCGGGCTAATCCCGACTCCGTCGCAGGTAATACACTTATTCTGGTCATCTCTAGGCTTACTTTGATCATATACGTCGTTGGGATTGAGTACGGGCCACCCCGGGGTCAAACCGGGTGAGTTAGGCCGAATCGGGCTGGAAACAGCCACTGCTGGCCAGGCACGCCCGCAGGCACGCTGTGCCTGGCATCGTGCCTGGAAGGTAGTGGCACCCGAAGAAAAGAAAAAAAAAATTTGGGCCAGGCACGGCCGCAGGCACGCCGTGCCTGGCGTCGTGCCTGGAAGGCAGTGGCGTCCGAAGTATTTGTGGCCAGGCACGGCCGTAGGCACGCCGTGCCTGGCATCGTGCCTGGCCGGCAGTGGCACGCAGGGTAAGTTCGCTGCACGCACGGTCGTGCGTGCCACCCAGGCACGCCGTGCGTGGGCCCCAGAACCCGAAAATCGAATTTTTTCGCTCCGTTCTTTTACGTTTGGACCCCCGATTGATTCCAAACCTTAGTATTTACTTAATAACCTCCTAAGATGTGTAAAAACATTAGAAAATGTATCTCACATAGTGTATAAATGTAGGAACATTAAAGATTAATGGGAGATGTGCGAGAATCCTCATCGATACTGGGGCGCAACGATCATTTGTGAGTGAGGCATTCGCCGGGGGATTCAACGTACCCCTGATACCGATGGCTCAAGCCCTATTGGTATCCACACCCCTAGGGGAAGACATCGAGAGAGATAGCCACTATCCATCGTGTGAGGTGGAAGTGGAGGGCCAAAACTTGTCGTGTGATTTCGTGCCGCTGAGTATGATTGAGTTCGATGCAATCCTGGGTATGGATTGGCTTGAGAAGCATCATGCTAGGGTCGATTGTTACACGAAAGTACTTGAACTCGAAGGCAATGAAGGGGTAACCTTACGCTTCGAGGGGGATAGGGCAAAATCCAATAGTTGTATCATATCCGCTGTGAGGGCTAAGAATATGATGAGGAAGGGGTGTCATGCATATCTAGCATATGTGGTGGACAAAACCAAAGAAGAGACGAGTATTGATGATGTTAGGGTAGTATGCAAGTATCCGGACGTCTTTCCTAAAGACTTACCGGGACTTCCACCCGATAGGAAGATTGAGTTCGTGATCGAGGTCGAGCCCGGAACCAAACCAATCTCCATACCGCCATACCGTATGGCACCCGCTGAACTTAACGAGTTAAAAACCCAATTGCAAGAGCTTTTGGATAACGGTTTCATCAGACCAAGCCACTCCCCATGGGGAGCACCGGTCCTTTTTGTGAAAAAGAAGGATGGAACACTTCGAATGTGCATTGACTATCGTCAACTGAACAAGGTCACAATCAAGAATAGGTATCCCTTGCCTAGGATTGATGACTTGTTTGATCAACTACGAGGAGCAACCGTGTTTTCAAAGATTGACTTGAGGTCGGGGTACCATCAATTGAAGATTAAGGAGGATGACATACCGAAGAGTGCTTTCCGCACGAGGTATGGGCATTTTGAGTTCCTTGTTATGTCGTTTGGGTTAACAAACGCCCCGGCGGCATTCATGGACTTGATGAACCGAGTATTTCACAAATACTTGGACCGATTCGTGATTGTGTTCATTGATGACATCTTGATCTACTCAAAGAGTGAGGAAGAGCATGAGGAGCACTTGATACTCGTTCTTGAGACACTACGGGAGAAGCAACTCTATGCCAAATTTTCTAAATGCGAATTTTGGCTTAAGGAGATTGGCTTCCTCGGGCACGTGGTTTCGGGATCGGGAATTGCTGTCGACAACAAGAAGATAGAAGCCATCACTGAATGGGAGAGGCCAAAGAACGTCAAGGAAATTCGTAGTTTCCTTGGATTGGCAGGATACTATAGAAAGTTCGTGGAAAAGTTCTCTGTTTTGGCATCACCGTTGACAAAGCTCACTCGAAAAGGAGCTAAGTTTGTATGGGATGACAAGTGTGAGAAAGGATTCGCTGAACTGAAGAAGAGATTAACCGAGGCACCGGTACTTGCATTACCCAAACAGGGTATGGGGTACGATGTCTATAGTGACGCGAGCATCCAAGGGCTTGGATGTGTGTTAATGCAGGAGGGGAGGGTAATTGCCTACGCTTCACGACAGTTGAAGAAGCATGAGGTAAATTACCCCACCCATGATCTAGAGTTGGGAGCAGTGGTGTTCGCACTGAAGATTTGGAAACATTATCTCTACGGAGAGACATGTCACGTATACACTGACCATAAGAGCCTGAAGTACGTGTTTACTCAGAAAGAGTTAAACATGAGGCAGAGACGGTGGATGGAGTTGATAAAGGACTACCACCTAGTGATTGAGTACCATCCAGGCAAGGCAAATGTAGTGGCAGATGCTTTGAGCCGGAAGAGCTCAACTGGGGCATTGATAGCTAATTTGAGGGCATTAAGAGCCCAACTGGAGGTGTCCAGCAATGGTGCCTTATTGGCACGGTTTGAGGTGAGACCTACCTTGCTTGATGAGATCAAGAAGGGTCAGGAAACTGACGATGAAATTGTGAAGATCAGGGAACGCTTGCAAGCGGGACCGGTGGAGGACTTCAGAGAAAGAGACGACGGCCTTTTATTATTTCGTGACCGAGTGTGTGTGCCGGCGGATGATGAGCTCCGAAAGTCCATCTTAGAGGAAGCTCATTCATCGGCTTATGCCATGCACCCGGGGGGCACGAAGATGTATCGCGATTTGAAAGAAAGTTACTGGTGGTCCGGTATGAAGAGAGAGATAGCCGAGTACATCAGTCGGTGCCTTACTTGTCAGCAAGTCAAGGCAGAGCATCAGCATCCAGCTGGGTTATTACAGCCACTTTCCATTCCAGAATGGAAGTGGGAGCATGTGACTATGGATTTCGTGGTGGGGTTGCCACGGACCGTGAACAACTATGATGCGGTATGGGTAGTAGTTGATAGGCTCACCAAGAGTGCTCACTTTTTGCCTATTAACATCACTTACCCTCTTGAAAGATTGGCGAAGCTATACACGGAGGAGATTGTGAGACTACATGGAGTCCCGATATCCATTGTCTCGGATAGGGATCCACGATTCACATCTCGATTTTGGCCCAAGTTTCAAGCATCTTTGGGTACTAAATTGAAGTTTAGCACGGCTTTTCATCCACAGACTGATGGACAATCCGAGCGAGTGATACAGATATTGGAGGACATGCTTAGGGCGTGTGCTCTGGAGTTCCAAGGAAGTTGGGACAAACATTTGGCTCTAGTCGAGTTCGCCTATAACAACAGTTATCAGGCGAGTATTGGCATGCCTCCATACGAGGCATTGTATGGGAGGAAGTGCAGGACACCATTATGTTGGGACGAGGTCGGCGAGGCCAAGCTCGAGGGGATTGAACTTGTTGAAATCACCAAGACTAAAGTGAAAGTCATTCAGGATAGACTCAAGACTGCCCAAGATCGGCAGAAGAGCTATGCCGACAAACGACGCAGGCCATTGGAGTTCGAGGTCGGTGATAAGGTCTTCCTAAGAATTTCTCCTTGGAAGGGTATCATCCGATTTATATCGAGGGGAAAACTCAACCCCCGATACATTGGTCCGTTTGAAATCCTTGAAAGGATCGGGGCGGTGGCTTACCGTCTCAAGCTGACGCCGGAACTTGAGAAGATACACGACGTGTTTCATGTATCGATGCTCAAGAAATACGTGAGAGATCCATCTCATATTCTTGAGAAGCCACCGGTGGAGATACGTGAAGATCTACAATATGTAGTGGAACCGGTAAAGGTTGTGGGTCAACAGGTGAAGAAATTGAGGAACAAGGAGATTCCTATGGTAAAAGTCCTTTGGAGGAGTGATCGGGTCGAGGAAGAAACATGGGAGACTGAGGTCTCAATGAGAGAGCAATACCCTTTTCTCTTCGATTAGACACGTGGATTTCGGGGACGAAATCCCAAATAAGGGGGGCTGAACTTGTAACACCGTCCCCAAATGTATTTACTTTTAAAGTGAATATTGTATTTTAACCTTATGGAATGGTTGACGGATTTACGAGGTTATGAATTTTTATTAATTTTTGCGTGAATAGTAAGTTCGCGCGTGGGGCCCGCACCGGGAGCGGGGGGCCGCCCGATATTCCCGGGACCACATAAATTATTCATCTTGGTCTAGATAATATTTATATGGGGGTGGATAATTCTTTTGAACCATGGAAAGGTCTTGAGTTGACCGATTGGTCAAAAGAGGCCCAAATACCGGTATTGGCAATCTAACCGATAAAAGCCCGAAATTGGATTTCGGAGACCTATAAATTTAAGTTGGGAAATGTATATTCATTTTAAGGGTCATAATGATTGGGAACGTGTAATATATCTTATTTGACCCGATAAAATAAAATATATTTAAAACTGTCCGAAAAATACAACTTTCGGGACAAAGTGTACACTTCTGGACAAAAGGGGTTGACCTCCCACATGGGTGGGGGCCAACCCACGAATTTAGCCACACAAATTGAGGCATGGGGCTGCTGAATGGAGAGGAGGAAGATGGGTAGAAGTTGGGTTGACTTGAGAGGCATCTAAAGGACAAAGGTGGGTCTCTCAACCCACACATAATTGCCTATTGAGACAAAAAGCCAACCCCAACCCCTCTCTCCCCTATTCTCGGCCAGCACCAACCCCAGCAAGGGAAGAAAAGATCTCCATCCTCCTCTCCCCATCCTTGAAGAGAGCTCAAACAATAGAGGTCCAAGAGGGAAGATTTAAGAGAGAAAAAGCTAGGAAAAGTGAGAAAGATTAAGGTAATGACCTTATATTAACTTTTCCTTTATTTTTCTTCTATCATTTGAGATATATATCATGTGAAGAACATTGAGGATTGTTCCACATGAGTTAGTGTAGAATGATGGGTTGGAAGGGGGTTCTAAGTCCAAAAACGGACCTAGGAGCCAAACCGACAAGTTCACCGGAAAATAACCTTTTAGAGGTTATTCGTATTGATTAAGGTTTTATGATGTTAAAACCTTGTTAGGAACTTGATTAAAGTACTTTGGAGCTTCGCCGGAGTTTCGCCGGAGTTGGTCAAAGTTGGCCGGAGTTGGTCAAAGTTCACCGGAAATAGTCAAAGTTCAACCGCGGAGCGTAGAACACGCTTAAGCTCACTTAAGGTGAGGATGACCGACTATATTGCTTATAATTATTGGATTAATTTCATAAGATTACCTAAATGAATTATATGTGTTTGGCATGATTTATTTATAATATAAAAAAATGCCTAAATGAGATTATTATTGTTTATAAGTAAAAGTGCATAATATACAAATTTATGAATAAATTGTGTATGATTATGTATTATGAATACAATGGTATAATAGCGTGTAAACTATAAATGAATTGTGATAAATATACTTTTACCTCATGTAAGGAAGTCATGGAAGGATAAAAGTGATATTTTGATATTAGAACCAAGTTATACTTGAATGTGGAATTAAATTGAAATAGCCAAATTACTATGAAATTGCATTGGCTTATTAAGGTTAAATGACTAGTATAGAAATACTAGCCGGGGATGTTAGCATGAAAAGTGATAGAACAAATCCTAGGGGTTTGGATTGTGAAAGATGTACCTTAAGTAGTCATATGAAATGTCTTAAGGTAGAAATGAGTAAACGCTAAGTTACCGTAGGAGTGGATCTTGAAGGTTACTCATAGTAGAGGAACTCTAGGCATAGAGATTGCTTAGTGAATTAGTATCGTGACTAGAGGAAGCCTCGAGCACGATGAAGAATGACTGGAGGAAGCCTCCAGCATTCGTGTAGGACGACTAGAGGAAGCCTCTAGCGTAACGTAATGTGACTGGAGGAAGCCTCCAGCACAACGTATGTAAGGTGATTAGAGGAAGCCTCTAACACCAAGTGGAGTGACTAGAGTCAGCCTCTAGCACGACAAAACATGACTAGAGGAAGCCTCTAGCATGGTAAACTAATATAGATGGGTGTGGCTTGAAGTCACGGGGAAAGGGTTAAATGTTTCCAAAGTAAACATGGGCCTTCGGGCGATTACTTGACTATATATATAAAGTAAGTATACTTTCAAAAGAGGGTAACCGCGGGTTATGACCTATAATATAATAACATCCTAGATTGAGGGTCTTGGAAATTGAAACTTTGATTATACTTAGTATAGTTGTCATTGTACTTGTCAAATGCTTCCAAGTACTGACCTCCCCTTCACGGGGGAGGCCACCTCACAGTTTCAGGTAGAACTTGAAGGGTGCTACCATCACCGTTGCTTCGGGCGGATTATCAAGGAGAGGAGACGTGGTTCGTGCTTCCTCCGTTTCTGTTTTAAAACATTCAAATTAATGCTCATGGATACTATTTTCCGAATAATTATTTAGGGCTTGCACGCCCGTGTTTGCCACGTGTGGCTCGAATGCTTGTATTAATATTTCCGCTGCTTAATTAAATGATTTACATTGTGATTGTTTATGGATGTACTAATGTGAATGGTATTCAAGACGCCTTGTATAGTATGGATGAGTTGGACTGCGGTTGACTATTCGTACTGTACGGCGGGTTGTTGACGTGTCCGGGAAGGTCCGGGGCGTGACAAGAAGACTTCATTATCTACAACCTAGGTGAATGAATTATGTCCAAATTCGTAGCGGAACATCCCCAAAATCCCAGCACAAAACCGGCGCCGGAATTACACCATACCAGAGCCAGTCTCATGCCTTTCGCACACAAATCGCAAACCAGTAGCTTAACTGGCGCCGGTCTGCCCTTATAACCGGCGCCGGTTATGTTGTTTTTCAGAAATTTTCAGTACGCAAAGAAGAACCGGCGCCGGTCACGTCGGATTCTGCATAAAACACAACGACGTGCTCCATATTTTTGATGGGAATACTTCATCTTCTTCATGATTTCATAAAATATTTCTTTCATACCGAATTGTTGGGCTCAAGTAGACCAAAAGATGTCATTCTTTAGCCTATATAAAGCGTTCAATTCATCATACAAAGACATTCCATTCCATAGATTAATTCCTAATGTTTATATTTTGTTCTAGCTATTTTTCTTCAAGTTCTTGAGGAAGGAAGTTCATCCTTCAAAATCATTGGTGTTAAGGTATTATTTCCTTTGTAATTTCATGTTCCGTTACATTTCAATATTGTATTGTGATTAATATGAGCATTAGATAGATGCTAATTTCTTAGTTAAGGCTATAAACTTCTATGCCCACTAGGTGTTTGATAAAAATTCTAAACCAATAAATTGTGATTTATCCTTTATATTTTGACTGTTTATGACTATGGTGTACAACATAAAAGTATGTTAAATGTAGTTTATGCTTGCAATTAACGTTGAAGTCTAAACTATGAACATTACATGATAAACATATATATTACAGACAATAGAAATATATCCGGTATTATATGATATGGGTGTGATGTCTTGATATTCAACGGGGTTTTCAATAGATGAATGTAAGCCGTAACGGGACTTACACGTAACGAAAACCACGCTCTCACTGCCTTAACCGGAGTTGAGAATATATTAGCGATATCGTATTCATAATTATTGGTAAAGAACTAATATTCAACCCTATTAAAGCATTTAAGTGATTCCCGAAGCCTTAGTTGTTGTTATCAATCACTTTAAACTCAAATTAATTTAAGTTATATCCCTGAAAATTAAAAAGAAGAACCAAATTGTTGTTTTAACAACAACTCACAAATCAAAATCCTTGCACTTTACTCATTTATCTATTTAAAGTTATCTACTCCCGGACTAAATTAAACAACGTTTCCCTGTGGATTCGACTCGATATTTTACCGGAATTTATTACTATATCGCCACTTGTACACTTGCAAGTTTAGCCCGGTCACAGGGTCTAGCACAATGTAGAGTGATTAGAGCGAGGCTTTAGCACAATGTAGAGTGACTAGAGCGACGCTCTAGCACGATGTGGAGTGACTAGAGCGAGGCTCTAGTACAATGTAGGGTGACTAGAGCGAGGCTCTAGCACAACGTAATAACATAAATGGGCGAGGCTCTATTATAGTGTAATAACGCACTAGGGTTAAGCCCGATGACGGCGTCGTGACTTACTAATAGTTTATGTTAATCGTGACTAGTAAATCTCGGGGCATATGGAGGGACGTTTCAAAACGAACATGGGCCCACGGGCTGACTACTTGACTTTATATAAAGTAAGTATAATTCAAACAGGGTAACTTGAGGGTTACTGCCTATATTATGATATCACTGTGATTGATGATCTTTGGAATTGAAACATTGATTATATTCAGTTTAGTTGTCATTGTATTTTTCAAATGTTTCAAATACTGACCTCCCCTTCACGGGGGGGGGGGGGGGGGGGGGGGGGGGGGGCTACCTCACAGTTTCAGGTAGAAGCTGAGCATTCTACCATTACTCGTTGCTTCGGGAAGGATCTAGGAGCGAAGACGTGATTCGTGCTTCCTCCGTTTTCTGTTTTAAAACAATTACAATAATGCTCATGGACAATATTTTCTAATAAACTATTGGAGGGTTTGTATACCTAAGTTTGCTGTCTTGAACACTTGTAATATTGTTTTCGTTGCTTTAATGAATATTTTACATTATGTTTGTTTATGGATGTACTATGCGTGAATGATATTCAAGACGCCTAGTATAGTATGGATATGCTTGACTGTGATTGACTATTCGTACTATATGGCAGATTGTTGACGTGCCCAGGTAGGTCTGACGCTTGACACATATTCTCATTGACCAATTCTAATAATAATTAATAGAAAAACATCAACTAATTGATTACTTAGTGATGGTCAAATATCAATATGGAATATGTATATGGAAATAATTAATATTCACAAGATTCGATATAGCAAAATCAATAATACAAAAATACCTAAGTTACAAGGATAAACTCTTTATGATAGGGAGGGATTGATAGCTCCTCAAATGGAAAGGAAAAATGTGTTTTTATAGGAGAAATGAGGTGGCTGAGTCGGATACCCGACCCCATATCCTTGACAATAGCTATGAAAATATTGAAGTCAAGTCATACCCGACCGGATATGTCAATATATTCGATCGAGTATAAATCAAATCTAATTTTCCCACACCTTCTTGCTTTGTTCGAGCTTGTATGATCTCTTGGTCAAATCATACCTGATCGGGTATTGGATATACCCGGTCACGCGTGAGACCAAATCAACTTTTTCTTCTTTCTTTGTCTCTCATGAAGCTTACTTTTACTTTTGTCTCTAAGATCCTTATGCTCCAAAGTGGTTTCCTCTTACTCTTTCATCATATTTCTTGCTTATATAGTTATATGTCAAATCTTTTAATACCTTCTAATATTAGTCTTATTCTAGAAGGTAAAAAATTACATCGTAATTAGTCTTAAGTAATCACAATGTAAAACCATGATAAAATGTGATGTTTATGTACTCTTAAGTAGCGCATATTATAATGCCACTAGCAGAATTCATGCATAATAGCGCATATTATAATGCAACTAGCAGAATTCATGCATAATCTAATCCATTTACAAAATGATTCTTGTGCATGTTAAACAAAGATATGAGGGCAGAAGTCGCTGTGAATAGGTGATGTTGGGACTGTCATCAATGCCACCGTTCACAGAAGCTGAGAGGTAAGCATAGCAAAAACAAGACCGCTGAAAACAAAGATCCGGGTTGTCTCGACTCTTAACTAAGCAGGGCTGACCATCAACCACTACATGTATGGCTAAATAACTGAGACAAAGTCCACACCACCCCACAAGAGTTGAAGGGTTTTCAGGTGACATGATATGAACTAATTCATCACACAAGTGTAGCTCTATAGAACTAATTGTAGAGGAGATAAAACTTGCTCCAAAATAAATTCCAGTCAAGAATAACGCTCTAAGGGTGTGACTGATTCTCAAGGATACAGAGGGGATATTAAATTCCGCTTACCTCCCCTCCGATTTTTAAACGAAGTGAGGGGGAGAGTTGAATCTACCCTCCCCTCACTTCAAACCAAACATACCATCACAAAAAATCAATAACCAGAAAAGAAATAAAACTCAAAGAAGTGGTTAACATCATGCTAAACTTCTTGTGGCATCTCATTCTTACCTCTTTTCACAACAAAATCGAGTTCAACAACATCTAACCCTCAGTCCCAGAAGAGTATGGGGTCAACTAACATGAATTGACACATGAAATCGGAGCTAAATAAAAATATTCAAACTCATTGTATACAGAGAGCGATGCAATTTAAGACAGAAGAAACTCTACACAGAACAAACTCATTGTCAGGACAATGCACTTCAATTTATAAAGATGGGGCTTTCTATATTCAATTCAATTACATTAAAATGTAATTGCTTGATAAGTCCAAGTATAGTTACTGAACATAAAATCTATCACCATCAGGGGAAAAAGATAGACAATAACAGAAGGGCAAAAAGATGGTAAAAGCGAACAAAGTGAGAAGTGGAATTCAACCCAGATAATTTAGACAACATTCCAGAGTAACTCATAATCAAAGGGTTGAGAGCCACATAGCTGCAAAATGATAAGTATCCATTCCGTTCTTTCAAAGCTCAAATTCCTCATCACGAAGAGCCAGCTCAGCAGCCTCCTCATCTTCCTCATCAAGAACAAAGTATTGATTCTTCTCCACTGGCATAAACATGTAAAACATTGTAATGTAAAAAGCAAGGTTAGCAATCTCCTCAGCAGCACTTGCCACCCACTGGTACTTATAAGCAGCAATGGTCCTAAGGGCAAACACCACAATCCTTGTGAAATAGAGGTACCCAATCACCACAATGTAGAATTGCCTAAAAAGGGTCAATTTTGCTAGGTTCCTCGCGGCCTTCCCATCAGTCTTTGATGTCTCCCTCAGTGACCTAATAGACCACACTATGGGGAAGATGATCGCACAGCAACACACAATATCTACTATCAGAAACACCTGATTCCATGTAACCCAGTCCTTGATAAAAGGACCAGTTTCTCCAATCACTACTGAGGCTATATTGGCCAATACCTGAAGGGGAATCACGATCATCAAAACCTTCTTCTCCCTCTCCTGCAAAAACGGCTTCAAAAATGACCACCCAGTTCCGATCAAGATGATAACTGTGAAGAGGAGGACCACACGGATGAACTGGAAAATGTAGAACAACACATCCCAACCGTGAGCTGTTCCGCTCACCTTCACATAATGTTTGTCCTCCGCAGCGCATATCAGATTCAACGCCTTCATGGCCAGCAAACCCGCCATCAAGAGATGGATCCGGTGGACGGAGTTCTTGTTGGTGTAGCAGATGTACACCCAGAAAGCCATAAATCCGAAATAAATGAGGGAGAATGTAAAGTACAGCGAGGGGATCTGAGTGAGACCCGCGGAAAGGTAGTCCTTGACCTGGCCCTGATCGTCAAGGTTGTAGAGCTCCGTGCGAACGTTCATGGAGACCTTGGATTCGGGAGCGCAATTGGCGAAGAAAAGAGAATACTCATTCGGGGAAGTGATGGGGTACGAGTGGTTGTAGAAGGAGTTAGGCGGCGGCGAGAGGTCTCTGAAGGTGAAGAGGAGATTGATATACTTGGAATCGAGGACACAAAATGACGGGTTCTGCTGGAGCTCGATAAGCACCTGGATGAGGGACTCCTGCGAGAGAAGGAAGAAGCCCAGACGAGACGATTCGGGGGTGGCGAGGGTGGATTGAACGGAGACCGATGAGACGGTGATGGCGGCGTGGCCAGTGTGGGTGAACCCGAAGCGCTCGAACAAAATCATCGCCCGAGAGTCGGAAACGATCCGCAGGGTTTTGATCTCGGCGGCGGTGGGTGAGAAAACGGAGAAGAAGAACAAGAGCAGGAAGACGAAGGGTAATTTCGTCATTGTCACTGGGTGGGGAGGCCGTCCGGCGAGGAGGAGCACAGTGAAAAGCTTTGGGACAGGGGAAGAAGAAAGTGGAGCCGGGGAAGGTCTCCTTGATCTATAGCAGCAGCTGGATGAGCAGATCGCAGGCTATAATTGGCATTTCGCTGGCTCCAAATCTGATCTAAAAACCTTTCTCTTTTTGGACCCGAATTAGTCAAAAACACTTCTCCCGTGTTTTTAAATTAAAAAAAGTGCTACGCTTGTTATTGCTTGAACCATGAATTATGTGTGCACGCACTTTGGATGTGTCTAATTTGACTCATATTTTTCGATTTAATTTGGACTGATTTGGTTTGGGTTCATTTGTTAAAGTCTAATTTGATTTCTTTCAGAATTGGTTTGACAGATGACTACTCGATGTGTATTTTACAACGGTCTAGTTGAGTGCAATTTTGTACATCCCCACTAAGGAGGGTGAACACATTTAAGGTCGCCATGTGCCATTCTATCCCATTTTTTCTTAAAATGTTATAACTTTTTTATTTGTAGTCTTTTTTAAAAAAAACATATCAGATTTTTTAGTTTTTATGATCTTTCCAATGGTATCAATTTTGTATATATAAATATTTGAAAAAAATCATTTATTTCCAAATATCTATTTTTAGTTGATTTTTTTTTAAATTTTTTTATATGCAATATTAGTACCATATGAAAAATCGTAAAAACAGACAAATTTTGATATATTTTTTTTAAAAAAATTGATTAAAAAAGAAAAAGATAAAACAATTGCCAAATAGTAAAATATTGCCTTGCCACATGGCAGGCAAATAGGGGTGGGGGTGAACATAACCCTCTCAAATGAGGGTGAACAAAATTGTTCTCTGTCTAGTTTGATCATTCTGATATTGCTAATATGAAATGTTTAAATATGATTTTATCTAGTCTTGTTTAATTTGGTCCTCTAATCTTGTACTAAAATCATTCCAATTAAAATAAGGGGGAATTTGACTTTGCGCCTCACTTTTTGGGTGATATTAGACTTTGCACCCCATTTTGAAATAACTTTGATTTTGCACCCCAACACAAAACATTTTGTGAAGAAAAATTTCTGAATGGGGTGCGAAGTCAAAGGATTTTTTAGTGGAATGGGGTGCAAAGTCAAAGTTTTTTGAATAATGGGATACAAAGTTCAATATCACCCAAAAAGTGGGGTGCAAATTACTTTTGCAGAAAAAAGTCCAAATTTCTGAAAGTTTTTTCTAGAAAAAACCTTGTTTTGTACTAGGTGTTACTTAAGGCGGTCCTATATTACTTTTGATTGATGAGAGGGAGAGGAGTTAGGACTGGGTCCGAAAAACCGAAAACTGAATCAAATCATACCGAACCATAGCCAAATAAAACTGAACCACTAACAAACCGAAACTAGGGTTGTATACGAACCGAATCGAGTCGAATAATGAGATTTTGTATTTGTATTTGTTTAATTTTTTCGAATACGAATTCGAATTCAAATATGAAACGAATATTAATTTGGAAAAATTCACAAGAATAATCTCACCTTTCGCCGGTCTTCTCATAATAATCCCACCTTTAAATAATCCCAAAATAATCCCACCTTTGCACTTCATCTTCTTCCATTGGACCCTAACCAAGTTTTTTTACCTTTTTTGAGAATCTTATATAAATAATCTTACATTTATAATCCCACCTTTGCACTTCATCTTCTGCTGCACATCACACTCATTGGGAACATGATGGTGGTGTTGGTTATGATCATGGATATGCCCGTTCTGCTGGTGGTGGTGGCCGTGGTCGTGATGGCTGTGGGCGGAGCAGCAGGCGGTGTAGCGGCGGAGATGGGCCAGGGGAGGGGTTAAAATGGAAGGCGTATGACAGCGTACGACTTGCACGCGAGTGAGTGGAGGAACCGGATTTACTCTGGACCAAATCAGTGAAAGGTGAGATCATTTATATGATTTTCAAAAAAAGAGTAAAAAACATGGTCAGGGTCCAATGAAAGAAGATGAGGTGCAAAGGTGGGATTATTTTTGGATTATTTAAAGGTGGGATTATTATGAGAAGACCGGTGAAATACGAATAGTTAACGAATCATATACGAATATCGAATCGATTTGAGCATAGGTTGAGTATTAGTCAAATATCACTTCTAAATAACTTTTCTTATACTGTAAATGCATACTATGACTTAATATGTGTTTTTACAATTTAAATTTAATGGATCAATGCATTTTTAAATGGTGCACAATATACTAAAGTGAATTAATTTTATGATTAATAAATATAAATCTATTCCAAACTTTTTGAAATAAACACTAACACACACATATTAGAAATTATACTTATAATCTGTGAAATAAGTTGATAATTGTATATATCAAAGTCAAACAACTCTATTTTTATTCTTCAAATCAAATACATAATTATTTGTATTGTATTGAAAGACTTTTGAACCAAAAATTTGATTTGTATTCATATTTATATTTTGTTTTATTACAAAGGGGCTTGGAATTTGTATGCTAAAATGTATATCCCAATGTATATATGAGCTACACTTTGAGAGTATTGCTATGTTTTAAAAGTTATTATAGTGTTGTTATTATTATTATCATCAATATTGATATTAATATTACCATTATTATTAATCGAATATATTTGATTAATATTCGAATCGAATACACTGATATTCTTATTTGTATTTGATAACAACTCGAATCAAATTTAATATTCTTATTTGTATTTGTATTTGAATTTTCCGAATTCGAATCATCTTATACGAATTCGAATCGCGAATCGAGCACAAATTATTTGATTCATTTACAACCCTAACCGAAACTGAATGTAAAAAACCGAACCGAACAGTAGTTGTTTGGTTCGGTTTTGGTTTATACCCTTCAAAACCGAACTAATTAAAATATAAAATATATTTGTCAATTGTTAAGCATTAATTCTAACTAATCTTAATATCATTAATAGTCTTTGGTTTTCTTGTACTAGAGAAATAATGTTTGTGTTATATTTACACAGTATAACTATACTGAATGCTGATAATATGTTTTTACTAGTTATTAGTATTAATTAACTTTTATTTTTATTTAACTTAAAGAATTCATATTGAAGAAACAATAAATATTCATATCAACTATATCACATAGAACATATATACTCATGAACTTTTTTTGAACTAGTCACAAACAATGTAATTTAATAATAGGGATCGGGAAAATGGAAACTAATAATCCAACCTTTTAGCGGTCTTCTTTCAATAATCCCACCTTTTGATTATTCATGAATAATCCAACCTTTGCACCTCATCTTCATTCATTGGTCCCTGGTCGGTTAATGACCTACTATTCCAAGTTATTTTCTTATCTTTTCAAAATATTATCTTTGTGAAAGATGGGATTTATGGTATAATGATTTGCAAAGATAAGAAAATAGCTTGGAATAGCAAGTCATCAACCAGTTAGGGACTAGTGAATGAAGATGAGGTGCAAAGGTTGTATTATTCATGAACAACCAAAAGGTTGGATTATTGTAAGAAGACCGCTAAAAGGTTGGATTATTAATTTCCATTTTCCCTTAATAATATACTCCATTTATCCCTAAATAAAAGGCACACTTTCCTTTTTGGGATGTCCTATATAAAAGGCACATTTCCCCTTTTGACAAACAAAACAGTGTCAAATAGTGTCCAAACAGTGTCAAAGTATGCCTTTTACCTGGGGACGGAGGGAATATATACTTTTATCTCTCTCGCATACTCATATAATTCAAGACATATTTATTTATTTTCATTTTTATTTTATTTGTTATAGTGTGCTTGCATTCTTTATCTAATATGTTTGATCCCTCAAAGTATTATATCAATTTTAAATCAAATGATAATTTTTTGGTAAAAACCCGAAAAAACCGAAACCGAATCGAAACAAACTGAACCGAACTTTTTACTTTGATTCTATATTTGGTTTTAGGTCAAAACCGAACCGCAAGAACCGAACCCCACCCTAAGAGGAGTCTTGAGATGTGTGGCTTCATGTTCCATATGTTAATAATATTTTTAATTGTACTAATTTTAATTTCAGATAAAATCATATCATATCAAATAAAATTTTGGTAATTTTTAAATTTGTAAAATACACATAGAAAAGATCCACCGGAATCAGGGAACCAATTCAGATGAGACTATATCAAACTCAAAAATTAGAGTCTAATTTAAAAGAACTTCTATACTTTTGACCTCTAGGAATAAAAAAGTCAACTGGGATCAATCTTATGTTTATCTGATCACCTTATGTTTTTCTTACCGGGGGTGTCGGGGGCGGGGGTTTGGAGGGCCGGGGTAAACTGGGATCAATCTCACTCCATTGAGAATTCAGAATTGTATCCGGGACCTTCCCATAAGGGAGAGTGAGTCGGCAACCAACTAGACTGAACCGCTTCCTCTTCTGATCACCTTATGCTTTTTGTAGGAGATTAGATGTTCAAAATTCGTTGTTGATGCTGCTTAGTGCTTACTCTAGCGGCCGTTCAATCATATCACTGTAAGTCTAGTTTCATTCTCCTCCTCGTTGTAACTTCAATTCTCCTCCTTCTGTTTTCTTTGATGATCCTTTTTTCGGCTTATCAAGTGACCTTTGATTTCATACGTTGAATTATGGAGTATTACCTTTGTTCCCCTAATATTGGGAAGGAAGAGAGTTGTGTGGTTTTTTTGAAAAGTAGAGTTATGTGGTTGATAATGAGTTGATAAAGTGAGAATAAAGTAAGAATGAATTTGAGCCACACAAATGTTCCAAATGTGGTATGAGACAATAATAGATGGACATCCAAAAATGAAAAAAGGGGGTCAATTATAGGGGGACAGAGGAAGTAATAAAAAAGCTAAGGTTGAAGTTATGTTTTCCGAGTGTATTGGTTGAAGGTACTGTAGATGACCATTTTAGTTATTTTCCATCTAATTCTTTATGTTTTTCAAATATAGAATTTTAAAAATAAATTTTAATTTTTCATAAAATAGTAGAACCGGCCAATCCAGCCGTTTCCGTTAGAACTTCATAAATTTCAATAGAATCAACCAATAAAGTTGATTCAAGTGTAGAGTTTTCAAAATGATGAAGTGTGTAGTCGATTTGAGTGTGCCGATTAGAATACAAAGGCTATATTAGGCACAACGAAGGCTAATGTCTGAAATAAGAGATATTGTCTGAAATATAATTTATTGTCTGAAGCTGAACTTTGAAATGCTGAAT